GCCTATAGTCCCAGCTACTTGGGAGGCTGAGGCCAGAGAATCGCTTGAACCTGGGAGACAGATGTTGTAGTGACCCAAGATTGTGCCACTGCACTCCAGCCTGGGTGAGAGTGAGACTCCATCTCAAAATAAATAAATAAATAAATAAATAAATAAATATTTTTTTAAAAGTTTAAAAGGGAATATCTGTTCTTAAACCCCATTTAAGCATTATGTAAAAACAATGATAAAGATGTGAAACTGTGAAATAAATATACCTTATTAGCTCAAGTGGTCATCTATAGAATGATTGCTATAAGATCCAATTTGGAGAAAATATGTACCACAGTGTAAACCCAATAGGCTCGCATTCTTCTATCCTCCTGTTCCCCCAACCCCAGACAGTACACATATATGCTCACTACACACACACTAATCCTACTGTTAATATCTTCTGCCTCGAAAATAGTAAATGCTGGTGTCAAATGTTTTCTTTGACATCACTGTACCACAACACTTGCCTTGCAGTTAAACAATTGAGCCTGGTGATATTGAAAGAGTCACTTCTCAAATAATGTCACACATTTTCTTCTAAGCATTCTTTATTGTTTGGAATTCTCTTTTGTTTTTGTTGAATGATATTTTTATAGTTTGAGAATACACTTGGGGGGAACATCGACTCTTGGATTTTGTATCACTCTGCACTTTATGTAACTGCTACTTTAGCGTTCTCAGTAAAAACTCCTAATATTCTAGATTTGTCCCTCATATCCTCCACCCAGAGCAGTGCCAGGGCTCAGGATGTTCAAAATGTTTACTTCTTGGGTGAAAATATCAAGAACAACCTCACCAAATTTCCTAAGAATATGAATTTAACTGGGGTTGGGAATATTCTAAGTCATGGAAATGTAATTATTAGTTACCTTGCTATTGAGACTAGCAATGGTCTCGATATAAGAAATCATACAAATATAGGAAGACACTCAATAGCAACTTAATGGCAGATGGTTTATTTCAAACGAAAGGTAGAAATGAGGGTGGGGTGCAGTGGTTCACAGCTGTAATTCCAGTACTTTGGGAGGCTGAGACAGGTGGATCACTTGAGATCAGCAGTTTGAGACCTGCCTGGGCAACATGGTGAAACCCTGTCTCTACTAAAAATACAAAAAATTAGCCAGGCGTGGTGGTGCATGCCGGTAATCTCAGCTACTCGGGAGGCTGAGGCAGGAGAATCACTTGAACCCAGGAGGCAGAGGTTGCAGTGAGCCAAGATCGTGCCATTGCACTCCAGGCTGGGCAACAAGAGCGAAACTCTGTCAAAAGAAAGAGAGAAAGAGAAAAAGAGAGAGAGAGATGAGCATAGCAGAAAAGGGCTGGAGAGTACAGTAGATCTCAAGCTAGAAATGAGCAGGCAATGCAGGGGAGTTCCCGTTGAAGAACAGTATGGCTTTCAGTGCCAGGTGACAACATGGTTTGGCTCTATGTTCCTATGCAAATCTCATCTTGAGTTGTAATCCCTGCATGTCGATGGAGGGACCTGGTGGGAGGTGATTGGATCATGGGGGTGGTTTCCCCCATGCTGTTCTCATGAGAGTGAGTGAGTTCTCAGGAGAGCTGATGATTTTAGAGCGTGACACTTCTTTGCTCTCTCTCCTGCTGCCATGTAAGACATGACTTGCTTCTCGTTTGCCTTCCACCATGATTGTAAGTTTTCTGAGGCCTCCCAAGCCATGCAGAATTGTGAGTCAATTAAACCTTTTTTGTTTATAAATTATCCAATCTCAGGCAATATCTTTACTGAAGTGTGAAAATGAATTAATACACCAGGCAAGTATAGTGAGAATCACAGAGATCTGCGGTTAGCGGGAGTTTGACATCAAGATACCTTTTTTCAATGTTGTGTCTTACTCTTAGACATAAAGAGCAGCTTTCAGATGCTGGCCCAAAGTGAATGCTTATCAGTTTATTTACTGCCAAAGTTCCTTGCTTTTTAAAACATGTACATTTTTTTAAATTCTCTTAAGAGAATAAGAATTACACTACAATACATGGTCAAAGTAAGTTATGTGTAATACCAATGACTTTTTAAAAGAAAACATTGAAAACAGGTTTAATCTATTTTTTAATATTAAAAAAATATTAAATTACATATAAGTTTCAACAGTTTTGTAAAGAATTTAAATATATATCAGACTGTAGTATATTTGGGTTGAAAAACATTGAGTTCAATTTTGGCCCATACTTCTAGGGATGTACAAAAATGGGGAAAGAGAGAAGAATGACAGAAGCAATTTAAATAATAGAAAACAAGTCCAACAAGAAGGAGCTTTTGTACCTTGAAAAGTAAGCTGAATGAATGACTGTCATTATTAGGTTCAAGAGAAATTTTGTGCAAGGGACATGCTGTTCCACTATTCACCTGAATAAGTGAGCTGGATAAAAGTAAACACATATAAACGCACATAAGAGAAAGCCTAATTGTTTAGAAAGAAGAAAATGTGCAGGGTGAATAATGAAATGCTCAGATTCTCTATCTGGAAATTCCCCATGGGAATAAAGTATCATCTCTTCCTTTGATTTTGCCAACCACCTGCCTGAAAGCAGACAGCTCTATTTTAGCAGGTAATCTTGGGAAGTTGTAGATACAGGGAGATGCCTCTGGCTGCAGAAAATTAAAGTGTCATACAAAGTATTGCTAACATAAAACGAATGCCTAAGAATATTCCTGGTGGCCCACAAGGTTGAGCTTCAAAATTATGATTTCTTTCAGGGGATCTGAAGTGGAGTCACGTGATTCACTTTCAGTGACTTGGTTATGATATAAGACTTGACCATTCAATCTCATTACTTATAACTGTGCCTTCACAGACATTAAAGAAAATGCAATCCCATTTGGAAAACTAGAAAAGAGAAAATAACATAAAAAACGAATAAATAGCTATCTGCTGGTCCAATATTTCTGTGATCTCTGAGGACATCTGCAATTACAAGCCAGCTAGCTATTCCTCTCTCAGTGAAGATGACAGCCAAGGGTTAAAGAGTTGTGGAGTCGGGCAATGTTGTGTATCTTTTTGCTGTAATACATTGTAGCCATGAGTACAACTATATGCTGATCTGTGAATTCTCCTAGTAAATCATCAAGCCTAGCCGTGGTTGTGGGAACTCTGGACACACAGGCTTTGGCTCAGTCCTTCCTGAATCTGGCTAATCATAAG